AATGGAAAGGGTGGTAGGCTCAGCGGTAGTCGATCAGCTAGATACCCCCTGAAGTCTGAATTCAATTGGATTTAAAATACAGCTGCAAGACACGACTTTATGACTGACTTCTAGGGAAATAGAGCGCAGAGCATGGCTGAGGTTGTAAATTCTAAACTTCATAAAATGTGCTTTAATTTATTACATTCAAATCTATGCGAATCAATATTTATTTCGTCAAAAAAATATTCCAAAATATTCAGCAAAGTTTGCTATTTTCTGAGGCATAATGGGGATATATCTTCGATCTTCTATGGCAACAAATCATCATACTCTGCTCTCAAAAGGGTATCAATCAGTGGACGAACTGTAGAGCGAGATCCCCCCACCAGGCTGTGTGAGATACAGCCTGTCGCTCCATCTCTCTTCGCTCTCGCTCTTCTTTTGCTTTGGCAAAAAAATTTATTTGGTTAAGTGACTTTGAGCCCCACCCCGCACAAGCAGCTGTGTGTGTGTGCGTGTGTGTTTGTGTGCGTGTGGTGAGGGGGAAGCGCCGTACCCATGCATATTGAAACAAAGTGTATACTCGCATTGCGTATACGCAGCGTGGCCCCCACAAAAAAAATGAAAATAAAGAGGAAAAGAAAACGTATGGCTAAGTGGGGAATGGGGGCAGCCAATCATTAGCTTAAGGCTCGAGGATTCATCGGGGATTGAGTGAAAAATGTGCAGGCAAACGAGTGGCTCGAGATTCCCAATAAATAAGATTTTAAATATTCAGAAAATTGCACACAAGAGTGTTGGACATTTAGTCCCAAAGTTTGCCAAAATGAATACAGAATTATTTTAAGCGGAGAGATAAAATGTTGTACGAAAAGTTAGGCACAAAAATATTTGGCTTCTATAGTTTCTCCTAAACTCTTCAAAATGTTTACGAATGTCAAAGAAATATCTGAAATTGTTTTGAAAACTTTTGGTAAGTAGTTAAGGGAGGAAGAAGGATTGCTCAAGCACCCCTCCTGCAACAAACCGCATGAAGTAGCCACTACCCACACTGCCGTTTTGTGGCAAATAGCTGCAACATAATGCAATGCTAATGACACAGTCACAGACCTTGGGCGCCCACCAATACCGACACCGCCGCCCTCTTGGCATCCCCTATGCAAATGCAAATCCAAAATCAAAAGCTCACTTTAGCTGCCCCCAAATGGAGACTGTAGTGGTGGAGGTGGGGCCGCAAAACTTGGCGGCAAAAGTACACAATAAATTTGCATGCCACACACGGAGCCACATGCACATACCGACGCCCCGTGCACTTTTCTGAATAGAAATTGTTAGCACAGACCCCCTCAGACCCACAGACAGTGGCCCCACGAAGGGAGTGGAATGAGTACGGGCTTGCAAAAAACGAGAGGAAAACTCATGAAGAGAGAAAGAGACATATGCATAATGCCTAATAATCCGCATATTGTAGTGTCTGTATTATATGACCACCAGCAGCAGTCGTCGCCAGCAGCTCAGCAGCAACTAAACCTCCACTCGAACCAGCTTCCAGCTTACAACACAGTGTGGCAAGAGGCGAATGTCATTATGTGGTCGCCACAGACGCAGACGCAGACACAGACATAGAGACAGAGAAAGACACAAACGTGTAGCCACAGACGTATGCAAATATTGTATAAAAATTGCGGCTTAATCACGGCGCTGCAACACGACGCTGCGAGCAATCCTCCAGTTGGTGGCTGAATGTGAATGCGACTGCCGATTGCCTCCAGGCATTGCCGCCAAAGTGCCTCAAAATGCAGTCAGAGATCCGCCGCAAGGGAACAGTGGGGCAAGGTGTCTCATTTTCGAATGGGATTTGGTGCCTCTGGAAATGATTTGTTTTGTCCACTCTGAGGCTTAGCACCACTGTGCTCCAGATGGGGGCATTTATATATCGATATGAAGCTTAGACGACGCCTGCCAGACTGCCTCTGTGCCGCAGACAAGTGTCGCTGCCACAGCTAACCGGGAGGCTAGCTCCCAGTCCCGGTCCCGTGCCCCTTTGGCATGGCTCCACATGGCTCCGTGGAGTGAAGCTTCATCGCTGCATTATGTATTTGTGCTCATGTGTGGCCTGCTCCTGTGGCTCCAATGGCACTCCACTCCCAGTGCCCCGCTCTGCTCTGGCTGACTTTTGTGCCCGCAGATTTGGGTTAAAAGTAGCTTCCCTCGTGTATTTAATAGTATTCCTGGTCATGGGTTCTGCGTCTCCATACAGCTGCAATTGTCATAAGTATAGAAAAAAGGGGATATGGGATTTGGGATATGGGATATGGCTTCCCCACCAATTGAGTAGAGAAGAGAGCAAAGAGATGTTGGCAGTTCCCTTAGTTCCCTTTTCAATGCAAATTTTTTGGATTGAAGAATTCGGGCCTCCACAATAAATGGTACGAGTATGCAGAGGCATGCCATTACCTTTTGAATACCCCTCGCATATCCTTTGGCTTTTAATTTCCCACTCTGCTGTCAGTCTTTGTCCGCCTGGCCAAACTTGAATGCAAAACAGGCTTGGGCGGTAGTGAGGTAAATGCTTAGTTATTTATTTGCTCTGGCACTTAAGACTTTAATGGCACAACAAATGAAATTACAATTTAAAACAGAAATCATTAGGCAAATGAAAGCGTTGCGGCAAGCGGTACCCACAGCAACAAAAAAACTGTAGGCAGCAAACAGTGAGAGAAACAAATGGAACAAAGAGTACAATTCTCATTGCTGTTATTAATTAAGTGGCATTAACTGGAAAAGCCAGCAAGTCCCCGGACCCGTTTCCAAATCATTAGCAGCAGCACCCAACCCACCACCCACGAATTGTGCCAAAAGTAGGCGAAAAAAACCCAAAAGACACCCAACAGCAGTGACAGTGAAAATTCAAACAACAACATGGGGGCTACATTTTTTAAGTCTTAGCCTGGGGAAATCCAATTAAACACACAAAAAAATATATATATATATTAGTGGACACAATTCAACAACGTCAACTGGATATATGTACCTGAAGACTTACCAAGCCACATTTGATATTAACAATAGCTTCATTCAGTTGATTGATTTACACCAACAATATTCCAATAAACATTGAAAACGGTTGAGCACACAAATAAGTTACACCAACAACACCAACCAACTCCAACGTCGTTCTATTGGTTTCACCAACAACAGTTGTACCATATACAATGATACTCAAAATTTAATAAGCTTAATGTGCTCCAACACTAACAGACAAATAAATAGCAGAACGAAAAGCAGACGAAAAAAACCACCACAAAGAACAATATTGGCAACGCCAACCGACAGACACACAACAATTGAGCAGCAGTGCTAGCCTCGGCGGAAGTTGTGTCACGAGAAACAATTAAAACTGAAAGCAACATGCAACAAACAACAATAAGAGTGCGCGTACCAGCAGGCAATCACATATCATTAGATTTAATTGATTGGGCCTAACCAACAACCGCACCAGCAACAGCAACAGGCAACAGGCAACCCAGGCTAAAGAATACAGAAAATATTTTAGGTTGGTCTTGGGTTTGGGTACAGCTATCGGGTATTTTTTGTGTGTGGAGTGTGGCGAACAAATTCGATCTGCATTTGACCACAAATAGGATATGAAATAGGTTTTTTGTATACCACAAAATTTGATTTTAATTTGAAATTGTGTCATGGGTTAGGCCATTAACAGGGGCAGATGAAACGATAAGGATATCCGATGTAAAGCCATTCAAATAAAAGACTTGCCAAACATTTGTATTTGGATCCACATAAAAATGTAAACCAATTAGGAGTCAATTGTCCGACCAAATGGACACTTAAAATCTTGATGTTATCGTGCAAGTGGCAGTTGTTGTTGTAAGTTTTGATCGAATGATTTTCTAAGCACTTGACCATGCTTCGATTTCGATTTCGTTTTCTATTTTCATTTTCATTATGCAGTGTAAATTGAACGAACGAAAGAACGAAAGAACAGCGGCAACATTTTCGACATTTTCGTGTCAAGCCGTAAGTGAATTGATTCGGAATGATGTGAGTGAGTGAACAGCATCCGAGTGGTGTCTCCATGTCAGTCTCTAAACAATGTCAAATTGTCAGTAGATGACATTGTAGACCATGTAGCACCATGATGGATGATGGGAAATGGCAAAGGGCAAGCCTGTCCTTCGGTCTGTCTGCCCTTCTCTCTCTCTCTCTCTCTCTCTCTCTCTGTCGGTCTGTCGGTATGTCGGTCTGTCCGTCTTCCTGTCTGTTTGGAGTGCATGTCGAAGCGGTGCCGTAATGAGCAAATGAGTAAATGAGTGAATGGCTGACTGCATCAGACCTATGAAGCGGAAAAATAACCCTTTTTCGCACGTCGTCCTGAAATTATAATTGATGCTGCTGCTGCACTGAGAGAAATAGATGGCGCACTTCTCCCACGTCTCCCTGTGTTCACTTTATTCGTTTTGCTCAGTGACTCTGGGCACTCCCTGTGGGGGGAGGCTGTGTGACCGATAATTTTACAGGCATATTGATGCGGCTCAGATTCGCTTACCGCTGCACCATGTTAGCCACTCCTCAGTGTGTGCTCTGTGCTGTGTGAACACTGCCAGCTGCTGCTCCCACCATTATTTAAAATTAATTTATGCATTACTAGAGAGCGAGAGAGTGAGAGCTTAAATTAATCAGAGAGTTTGCAAAAGGAAAACCCAACCAAAACCAAACCAAAAATTTAATTTGCCACAAAAAGCTTTTCCATAAGCGGGGCCGGGGCCGGGGCCGGGGCCGGGCCGGGCCGGTGTCAAACAAAGAGTGAAGGCACAAAAGGGATTCTACTCAACCAAAAGACAAAGCAAGTGCACCACAGATTACAAAATACATTTTGTAATTTAAATTGTGGATACATTAAGTGCAGCACAATGCATTTAGTTTAAAATGAAATACTTTCGTTTGACGTGCCACCTGTTGATACGTTATTCATGGAAGTTTTACCATTTTCCTTGCAGCTCTCAACGGCACAACTAAATCCAGAATCGAGACAACATTCAACCCAAGGTGAGTACCTGATGTACTTTATTCTGTCTCTGACTAATTGGGAGAGTAGCCCAAGGCAGAGTTATAACTATGCAACTCCATTGAAGTGTGTTCATTACTTGGTTCATTCTTAGATAATTGCGACCCTGCTGAGTAGCCAATAGTTCGATCTTTGGCTTCAACTCGAATTGCGCTTGTTTTTCCGCTAAAGTTCCTCTTGTACAATGTTAACCCAGCCCCCCTCGAAGTCAGTCTGTTTGGTAGATTCTCTTCTGACAGCAGCCGATGGCGTTTCTGTTGATTTGTAATGTTGTGAGTGGCAGGGCACTCGCTGTGTGGCAGGGAACGGGAGTCACGTTATTCGATTTTGCAGTGAACTTTTGCGGTGATTTAATGATGTGCCCGGGCCTCGGGCACAGGTCCTTGAGAACACACTCCAATCATACATACATAGGCACATACTAATATACTTGGTTCAATGCATTTGCATTGAGAGAGAGGCAGCCAAGCGCTGCGTAGGATATGCTTCCACTGCACTTCTATTTTATATTTTGCGAGCATTCGGCATTCAGCATTCAGCATTCAACTCATCGATGTTGTCAGCGATTCAACGTGTGCATTTGCGGTTTTAATTAGCTGCAATTATGTGATTAAAAGCAATCAGATTCTATGAACGATGCGGACGAGAGGGCACAAGAACACACAGATCCAGATACAGACACAGAAGTGAGAGATTCATTTGGCGTTGCACCCATTTGTATAATTTTCTGGCGCCACCATTTTATAAATGCCAATTAATTATGATGACAACAAACAGTTACAGAATGGAAAACATCGCACGACATTTTGACAGATTAATCTGTAAATTGTCATATGTACATGCATGTACGTACATACATACAGTCATACATACATATCCGTGCAAATTCCAGTGGAGAAATATTTGTGATGACTTTTTAATTAAAATTAATAAAACAGTGATTGGCAGACGAAAATGAATAATCAAAGGACTCGTACATATAGGTATTATTATTATTGTTTTTGTTATTATTGTTATTTTTGGTTTATTGATTTCGAACAAATAGCCCGTATAAGACCGTTTATTGGTTGAGCTACAACTTAATGCCACAGACACGTAGGTAGGTATATTCAGAGTAAAGGCGATTACACTCGCTATTTACGGTCAAGTTTTCGATTGATTTACTGGGAGTAAACAGAGACTGAGAGAGGTACATGCTCGTGGATCTGTGCTTCGAAATATTGCTTCTGCCCCGTTGGATGTCCAAAACCAATATCCACTTATTAGCTACTGACTCCCCCAGCAATTGAGTTGAGTTCTCTGCTTGCTTTCTGGCCAACAGACAAATGACCGCTTTTATGGCCAACAATCAAACACAAGGCCACAAATACTTAAACTTATGAAAGGGAAAAAGGGATATATGGACTCTGTCTCTCTGTCGCTCTGTCGCTCTGTCTCTGTCTGGTACACCGATGTATGCAAGCCAGCAAATATGCATACTCACAGGATATTCTATATTGGGTCCATGCCAAGTGCTCGAACGTGTTGTCGTCGCTGAGGTCGGACTTGGGCACTCATTTCTGGTTCTGGTTCTGCTTCTGGCCCTGGCTCTGGCTCTGCCAATAGTTCCAATTTTTCAAAAAGGGTTGAACCACAAAATAAACAACAAACGACTAGAGGATACCCTTTTCTAGGAGTAACACGGAGTACTCCGGAGTACTCAACCACTACGTGGCTGATTCGCTTACAGGCAGATATCTAAGATATATTTTGAGTGTGACAATTATAATCTTTCCTCCACTTGCAGATCTCTGATGCTTGGGTCGTTGACTACTATATCCCCCAAAGATTTAAACGAGTTTCCCGTTAAATGAAAAAACACATTTCGTTTAACAAGTAGAGGCAAGCAAAGCAGCGTGCCAAAAGAAAAGTCCATACCCACCACAGCCCATGGCACATGCCCATGGCCAGTGTCTGTTTTATTTTCATTCCCATAAGTGAAATAAGTAGAAAAAGAGGTGGAATGGAGGAGAGGAGAAAAAGAAGTACGATACCGGGTACCAGGGAACCAAACCATCTGACGCACTTATTTTGCGCTTTGAATCCAATCACGTACCAATTTTCCAAATTTAACCTTTTTGAGCCTCGGCCCCGGGTGCCCACCAGTGGTGTGGGCAGGGTGTCCGATTGGTTGGTGGGGGTCAGTGAGTTCAGTGGGGTCCTGCTGCCAATAAAAACCATTTGCCAGAGTGAAATTTATATGACCGTGTCGATAAAAAACAAAACCAAAAATATATACGGGGAAACCAAACAAAACGAGAAGAGCCGTATGAGACGCTTCTTACGCGTCACAACTACCCCAGTGCTTTTTATATCCGGGACTCGTAAAGTAAATAGGGTACTGTATTTGTGGGGAATAACGGTTGCATGTAAAGACTTTTAACCCACCCCGTCCCGCTCATGTTTTTATTTTTTTTTGTGTGCGGGCGCTGCCTCTGCCGCGAGTCTGCAGTGTGTGGATCTAGGGAAGGGCGGCGAGCTAAAGGAGCGTGTTGGTGTGAGAAGTGTTGTTGATGTAGATGACAGATGAAGAAAAAATTTTAAATTTGACAAAACACCGCTAGGGTGCAGATGTACTACTGAGTGCCGGGTATAAAGTTGTGACGCGTAAGAAGCGTCTCACACGTCCCTTCTCGTTTTATCAAACTTTGAGTACTGGCACTGTAACACTCATGGTGTAACTCGGTTTATTATGCCACAGAGACCATTTCAACTAATTCTAGCCATCAACAGCTTCACAGCTGTTGTTGAAAGACGGACAGACGGACAGACAGATATAGACTCGATTAATAATAATGATCAAGAATATATTGTAGGAGGTCCTCGGGGAATCAAGAAATAGGCACAAACTCGGATTCTCTCTCAATTTTTCGTTCTTTTATTAATTCTTTCTGCCTGCGACCGGTCAGATGAGTATAATCGAAGTGTCTCCTTCTTCCCGCAATCCCGATTACCAGCTTATCGGTAGTTCTTAGTGATCTACTTAACATATTGGTATCTCCACTCGATGTATCGGCGATGATTCAAAAGATATAATGCTTAAAACAAATAACCTGCTACAATATATACTTTATGGGGTCGGGAACGTTTCCTTCTGTGCGTTACAGACATCAACTTTAGGGCACAAATGCAATATACCCTATTTACTCTTCGAGTAAAATACATTTGTACATATGTATATAACAAGAGGAGCAAAGAAGAGAGAACAAAACGAAACGAAACGAAACGATGGAAATGCGAACAAGGGCCGCACGAAGTATGCGAAACAAACGGTACGGCAAAGAGGAGAGAGAGGGCATAGAACCGTCTTTGAACCGTTTCAACTGACCAAAGGCACGACACGGGCTAGCTATCCGCCTACACTCCAGTAGCGACTGCTCCTCCACCACCTGATCATTAAATGTCTGAGAGCATTTGTGGCCAAAAGTTTCAGTGTTGGAGATGAAATGGCAAGGGCCGCGTGCCCCGAAGGCATGGCATTGAGAACTCAATTTAAATTGTCTAATTACAGCAGACACTCACTTCCAGACTATTAAATAAATTGATTAAAGTTATTACTAAAATAGCCCCCCTCTGCATAACCCGTGCAACGCGTGTGCCCGCTCCTGGTGTCCCCCTGATATGTCTGCCAAATGGTCGTTCTACTCGAGCCAGCAGCCGCTTTCCATATTAATTTCGAAGTCTGCGTAATTTGAAGCGTTTTCCCCAAAGCCCAGTAGTCACAGCCGCTTTTCCATCGTCTGCTGGCATTTGTGCTCGTTTTTCGTTTGGCTCCTTCGATGCCTGTAAGCGACACCATAAAATATTGAACATGTGGGGGGAGGGGCGGCACACCCTTTCCTACAGGGAGACAGACAGACAGACAAGCAGATACGAGTAGAGAATACGTGTACATATGTACATGTACAGAGTGCACTCATATGGGATGGGTATGGGATGGGGGGTGCACTCCGCTGACCTCCCCAACACTCTTGTACCCATCGATGGGGACTCGATTCCTTGGAAGCTCCTCATGCCAAGTAGAACCGAATAAAAGGAGCACCAGCAGAAGAAAGGGTTTCCCTGCTCCTTTTTTATGCCACTTTTTGGCTTTTGTGCTGGCAACGTTCTGCCAGCACTCTCCTGCACTCTCCTGACCCCGTTTCACCGACTGACGCCTTATTTTCTTTATTTTTTCTGGCAGCACGCGCATTACATTACATTACAACATGACCAGGAATGGGTCCGTGCCCATGTCCGTGTCCATGTCCGTCTCCGTGTCCGGGTCTGGGTTCTGGGTCCTAGGTCCTGTTCTAGTGCCTTCGGGCACTAAGTGGGAGACCAGCATCGTTTTCCTACAACACATTTTACTCGCATTTCGGTCAATTGTTGTTTTGCCCTCCCACCGACATTCCATTCTATTCGCAAGTGCAAGTGTGAGTGTCAAGTGAGTGTGTTTGGGCTATTCATTGTGCACTCGAGTACTCGTAACAAATGTAATGGATATGCCACGCTGAGTGGTAGACGAGTACGAGTTCGCTGATCAGCATCATTATCCTCCTTCAGCTATCATTTCAAACATTAGAAACATTCAGCAGATCGACTAAATATACATATATACAAATGCACCCACATATCGCCATCTTTAACATTTTTTAATGGTAGAATTCCATTCGGGATTTTGCAAGTTTTTCCCCCATCATTTTTCACGTTTTTTCCTTTCCTTTTTTCGTTTCTTTTCGTGTTTCTTGCCATTCCCGCATTATTTTCGTTGGGCTTTTATTTGTATTTCTTTGGTTTGTTTTTTATTTGGGTACAAATTGATGCCATCTGTTCGACGTTTAATGCCTTGGGATTTTGGCTTGCATCGTGCAACACTTTCAGCGCTTTTTAATGCAGTGGCTGCATAATTTTTACGCCCGTAAGTCGCCTACATTATCCGGGCCATAAATCGAACCGGTCC